CCACATAATGTACAAGAAATGTTTCTGGTTCGTAAGTACACGAGTGTGAAATAAACATATGATTACTCATATCTGACCCACAGCTGGGAAGTGGTTATTTCTCCACATGTTCTGAAATTCCACAATGCCTAGTTACATTTTTTAGTCAAGTCATTATATTCAACAGTAAGATAATGTATAAGGAAGGAAAAAAATCAACACTTTGAGATAATGGAAAAGTAAAATACAAGACGTTACTCAAAGAGTTGCTGTCCTTCTGGTTCTCCTCAGCATTATCACAAGGGCTCATGCTTACTGCGGGCTGTCACGTCCGTGCCACAGATCGAGTGCGTTACCATTTTACCCCCTTCAAGTCTTCCAACATTCCTCTGACGTAGGCACCATAATTATGCTCATTTTACCGATGAGGGAACCAAGGCACAGAGAACCCAAATGACTTGGCTAATAAGCGATAACAGCAGGACAGGAACTCAGATAGGCTGATTAGAGGCCCATTCTCTTAACTGTCACACTCTATCACACTATATAATAACTTTATGCTGTTATGATTCAAATTTGTAGCTCGATGGTTACCTCAGGGCAGAACAGTACACACTTCTCTACCTGAGAGAGGTCTCGTGCTTTTCTGGTGCATCACAAAATATGGTGACATGGCATTATAGATGAAAATGATGAAGACCACTTTTCCCAAATTTCCAATATACAAATTTGCAACAATAATTTTGTATTAATGTAAGCTTTGCATTTAAAAGAGAATTTAACTTTAATGTGCAACAGACAAATTACATTAAGACATTAAATCTGAAAGTCATTGTTAAAAAATAGCTTACTTATTTTGAGCAAAGAAAACTTTCCAGTCTTTGATATATGTTCTTACAAACATGAAAATAAAATTCCTTTCCTTGACTGTCCTTTTCCATTTCACACATATTGATCTTTCCATATGTTTTAAATAATCATGAAATTAATAGGACCTGTTTTTAATAAATCCAAACCATAGCTCCTTTCATGTAAAAATATTCTGGGGTGAAAAGCTGCCTGAGCATTAGGAAAAACTACAGAACAACAAGGAACAGCTTCAGAAGAGACACTGCAAGACGATGAAGATCTGGGAAGGAAACCATGGAAAAGCATTTGCAGTTAGAAAGGGGGAGCCCTACCTAAGGAGGAGGATTCTGAAGTGGAGTGGGTCCGATAAAACAGAGGGGAGGAATAAAATGCAGGACTGTTTGATACGTTCGTTAGCTGTAAATCAATGGAAAAGACATACCAGGTGGAATAAGCCAGGCTTGCATTTGAATTCTAACCACCTTTGTAATGTGTGGCATTGGGTGAAAGTTCTTGATATTTTTTGAACCTTTCATAAAATGGCTCATAATATTTATCTAACTGAATTGCAGAGAAGAATCAATTGTGCAGTATCCAGCACAGAATCTGGCACTGTGGGTGCTGGGAAAAGAATATCCTCCCACCATCCTCACAGGCACAAAGCAGCTGACTGGCCAACTGGAAGACCCCTTCACAGGCAGGCTGGGTAGTCCTATCAGTCACCAAAATATTCTTTATAATTTAAAGTTACTTTGAAAGTGCCCATGGTCCTAGTTATTTTCTAAACTAGTAATATTTTCTAAAAATTCATTATCAAGGAAAAATAAAGCCATTTCAAAGAATGTTTCCAATAACACGAATAAACCACAAACACCTTATCAAGTAGAATTTCCACCATATTATATATGTACTGGGGGAAATACTACTTGATAAGGTCATTTTGTTAGCTATTAAATACTGAAGTCATTAGGATAGCTAAATCTGGTTAAAACAATACTAAAAAGAATTGTTTTGGAATGCACTAAGTTTTGAATTCTGGATGTTTAGTGTGTGTGTGTATGGGTTTTTTTTTTTTTTAGATAGAAATGACTATATTTGTTTACAAAATGAATCTGCTACCATATTAGACGAAACCATTATTTTATACAATTGTGTCACAGAACACTGGGCAATTTGCGAGACAGCTATTTTACAAATAGTTTTTCAAACTAAAAAAAGTCTTCAATTACTACAAGCACCTTATGCTTGAAAATATTTTTAACATCTTAAAGCTTATTTATAATTGAACACTTTATTGTTCACTACTGATGTAATTTTGATACTCTCAGATTTAGGAAAGCACCATGTAAAATGACTGTGCCCCCCACACCATAACGTTTAAAGGGTCCAGGGTCCTGCAGCAGTTTTAAAGCTGAGTGGTGGCCTTTGAGTTGCATGGCTGAGTAATGCAGCCAGTGTGCCACCAAGAGGAGAAATAATGAACTCCACTTTGGATTTTATTTGTAAAACAAAACCGTTAAATTTTAAATAAAGTATTTGCTTATACTTATTAAAAAATGCAGGAAATTCTTTATAAAGTTCTCTCTGCATAAATGACTCCTTTTTAGTGCCAGGCTGCATGAAAGTGCTCTTTGAGAACTCACAAAATGTAAAAAAGCCTGGAGACGCTACCAGTCACAGGTGTAGTTTGCCAATTAAAAATGGAATTTAACTATATTCCCCAGAGTAAATGCTTTCTTTTCTTTTTATAATAAATATGACATGTGTTTCCAGAAGTACATATAAGTTCTGGAACAACCACCATGATTCATTTATGAATCATGTGGACCAAAAGTTAAACTAATTACCTGAGGCATTTCTTACTTAAATGAGAAAAGTTTCTTTCATTAGAGGGTCTTATGCATAATTTTCTTCTGGCAAAGGAATAAAGTTTAGTTAGAGTAATTTTGTTTGTCAGACAAAGCTTCTAAAATATATACCAATAATTGTTAAGGTTAAAGCAAAACAGACAATTCTATTAAATACACATAAAAATTCAAGCTTCTAATGGCCCAAACAATAGGCTGATTATAAAGGAGATGTAGGATATCCTTGTTTTGTCTCAGAAGTCTGGGTGTTGGGATTTCTACCAGCACAGGGCCATTTTTAAGAGCCATGAAACAACAAACCACAAAAGATCACTGAGCCTCTACTTAACTAAAAACATGACACACATTAAAATGCAAAAACGATTTTAAGCATAAAATCTGAAAACTCCTTTTTCCACACTGTAAAATCGTATCTTAAGAAAATGGTTTGTAAAAATGGGTTCTCAAATGCTCTAACATACTGTTGTTTCACACCTTGTTTCATTGTTTTTTTAAACACCAGCATACCTTAAAATAGATGATTCTAAACTCACACCTATTTATGTGACTATCTAGGAAACTCATCCAAAGAAATTCTGTGTTTTACTGCTAACTTCAAATTTGCTTTTAGTAAATAAGAAGATTCTACAGTTGATTACTATTTCCAAGTGATTTTTTCCCCCTTCAAAATCTTAGCAAAACACTGCTCTAAAGCCGAGAGTGGTTAACCAAATTTGCTTTTAGTAAATAAGAAGATTCTACAGTTGATTACTATTTCCAAGTGATTTTTTTCCCCCTTCAAAATCTTAGCAAAACACTGCTCTAAAGCCGAGAGTGGTTAACTAAACCTTTCTCTCTTGGTTCTTTCACTAAGGGAGCTCATTATCTGTAAGAATTCTCTTCCCTATTTATACCCTTTAAAATTCCACACACCCTGAGTTGCAAGATTCTGTTTAAGAAGTTTCTACCTGCGATGATGACTGTAAAATATTTTGAGCAGGGAGTACAAACAATTCTACCTCACATCCCTATTTCTACATTTATTAAGTCCAGCCTGCTATACAGATGTCCTCTACACACTGCCAAAGTCAGAGCAAACAGGACAAAGACAACTCACTAGGACAGTATGGTTATTACTTCAGATAAAAGCCCAACAATTAAAGCTCAAAGTATGTATCAGGAAATGTACTGCAAAATCTTTAAACAGGGTCCAAGGGTTCAAGTACATTCTGAAGTTGTTACTGGCTAATCAGGAGAATGACCTCTTACCCTAGGGGTATGGAAAGCCTGTGTGTCTGCATCAGACATTCAAAGAATAAATGAAATACAGAAAGGACTACTTCATAATTAAATGATCCATGTCCACTGATAACTATTTATAGTTTAAAGGGTAAATTCTGAAATACTCTCCATACCTCTATTTGGATAAGACCTAGTGACAAAAAGTTCTTGAATCTTCCCTATTCCTTTCTTCCCATCTTCAATGTTACCATCTTAGCTCTCATCAATTTTTAAATCTATATTAGTTTAAACACTTCCTAATTAATCTGTCTCCAGCCCCAGTCCCCTACTCTATCCTACCACTACCATTTTCAAATCCATCCTCCAAATGGAGTCCAGAATAATCTCTGTGCAGTACAAATCACATCACTTGCCTGTTTGATATTTCCACATCAAGTCAAGAGTCCACGTGTCCCTGTCCAAAACCCCCAGCCCTCCCCCAACAACTAGGTGTCTTCCAAAGGAAGAAGGCCAGGGACTGGACACATTCTACCTTCAAAAGCCAGGGTCTACAAGGATGGTGCTATAGCTAGTGGGTCCTTTGGCCTTTTTGTTCCAGCTTAACCAAAATTTAAATTTTGTTGGGAGAAATTAAAATAACTCCTCATCAAGAAATGTCAGGACCCCTAACTTATGGGAGGGTGAAATCTTTCACAAAAACATCCAAACTACTAAAACAACACTTCTCAAACATCTTCAAATGACCAGAATCACTTTCTTCAAATACCTAATGCAGGACACAAACAAAAAGTGATTGAAATAGTATTTTGAGATTGACAACATAAGCAGCGGTTAGACCACATAGGTCATAGAATAAAATTTATATTTACTTGGTGCAATGCAAAGTCAGTCGGGAGAAGAAAAGGGGATGTCATAAAACCTGGTTTACATTTTTGAAAGATCACTGTGCTTGCTGTGTGTGAAAGAGTTGAAACTACTGAGAAATTCAACATTTCTGATGAATTTTTGTATACTCTAATACACCTGAAAAAGTGATATGCAGTTTCCACTTAATGCGTAATCATGATAAAGAAGTCAGAATACCTGATCTTCACTGGTTAATCCCAGGTGCATCACAAGGTAAAAATGCACTAAGAAATCTGAGTTTGGCAGAACATCCTGGCGTCTGGTCATCATGGCACAGATCAGCCTGTAGGCTTGTAGTTTGCCTTCCTTATATTCATTTGGCAGTGTTGTCGCCTGCGAAGGAGATGATGTTTCCAGATTAAATCAGGTCCAGATGCAGAGCATTTCAACATTTCATTTACTTCTCCGTTTTCCATAAGAGTTGTTTATGTAGATGTGGGATGTAGTGGCTTTAGTAAGACCCAGCCTGTCTTCAAAACATGCAGTCTTGGGCAATTACAATTTTGAAATTCAATTTTGGAAAGGAAGAGGAAATTGCAATAAAGGAATAAACACATGCTTACTTGCCTTAAATAGCCATGATGCAAACATTCTGAGTGGTGGGATCAAGACCGGAGGAGATGGAGAAGACTGGTTATCCAGGCTTATTGCTAGATTATCCCGTATCTAATTCACAAAGAGGAGAATTTTAGGGAAGGTAACATTCTGTTTATTTCAACAGTAGTTCAATATTGTCTTCTATGGCCAAATAGATGCCGCCAATTAAATTTCTACAAGTTGAATGAAAACTTAAAATATTTATGTTTTTCTTTTATCATGAAATCTATTGTCCTTTTGAATTGTGTGTCTGGTGTACTATACGTGGTTTTAGATTTAAATACAAAATGAGGGCATTGTGTTTCCTTGCATGTTAATGCCTGAAGAGGTCCTGAACCCCAAATAATAAGAAATGATTTAATAAGTTATACAGTAAAAACAAATTTTTTTTAATAACATGGGGAAAATGTATGTTAGAACTAAAATAAAAACCAGAGTGAAAATTGTATGTATGTTAAGATTCTACTTTTGTAAAAACGTTTTTATCCACAGAAATAAGACTATATATTAATACTGGTTATTTCTGTGGGATGGTGATGTTCATTTTCTTCTTTGAATTTTTCTACATTTTTTGAATTTCATACAATAAAACCAGTACCACTTTTATAAAGAGAATAACTAAAATTACTTTATAACCAATTTTTAATATCCTATAGAAATATTTTAATTTTGCATGAAATGAAATAACTTTTTCTGCATTTATAAAATTATCAAACTACAAATATTATAATTTAATCTTTGATAATCAAGTGTACTTTGCCTAAACACCTAATTTGAGTTCCTATGTTCAGTAGTTAATTGCAACACAGCTTTTAAATGAAATGCTAAATCATTTTCCTGGATTAGAGTAAAAGGTAACATAGAAGTACCTTTGCTAGTTTGTACCAGAGTTCATAGAGATAGCCAAAAACTTTGGCATGGATCTTGGGTGACTGGATATTATTCACATCTCCAAGGATCCCCAAGATTCTTCGCCACAACACAGCAGCAGAGTCTGGGTGCCAACCAGTGAGGTTTCCTCCAGCGATTATACTACAGTCATCTGTAAGGCATTCACTGCTATCTATGGAGAAAAATGTGTGTGCTTAAAAATGTATGTATCCAGAGTAAAATAATTAAGATAAAAATGTGAAATGGCTGAGAATCTGAAAGAGAAAAGCGGCATCACGAAAAAAGGTCAAATAATTCTGTTCTTCGAACCAAAAGGGCTAAAGGTTAGAGATGACATGATAGTTCCTGGAGACCCTGTGAAGGGTTTTATAAAACAGAGGATGGGAAGATGGAGAGGCTTGAGCAGGATGGGTTGGGAACAGAGCCATGGAAATGGGTAGCGAGGGACGTCCTCAGTGCTGGAGAGACATTTGTGATAGTTGTTACTGTTGTTAGGTCAGGTTTACTGGGGGTAAATCTTTCATACAAAAAATCCTCATCACTTCTTTTTTTTTTTTTTCCTTTCCGTGACCGGTAAGGGGATTGCAACCCTTGGCTTGGTGTCACCCACACCGCGCTCAGCCAGTGAGCGCACCGGCCAGTCCTATATAGGATCCGAACCCGTGGCAGGAGCGACACTGCATCACTTCTTGTTTTAAGGAATGTATACATTCACATAACTCTCACCATAAAGTGCCACCATAATCGAGATATGGAACTGTCCCATAACTCCTGAAAGTGCCCCTTTATAGTCAGTCCCCTTCCTGCATTCTTAGCCTCTCACAACCACTGCTTTGTTTTCTGTTCTTATAAATTTGCCTTTTCCAGAATGTGATATAAGTGGATCCTACAGTGTGTATGTAGCCTTTCTGTCTGGTTTCTTTCACTTAGCATAATGCACTTGAGATTCATCCATGTGGTTGTGTGTATCAGTACTCTGTTCCTTCTTACTGCTGATTAATATTCCATTTTATGGATGTATCCCAGTTTATCCATTCACCTGTTGAAGGACATTGAAATTGGTTCCTGTTTTTGGCAATTATGAATAAATCTGCCATAAACATTCGTGTACAGGTTTTTCCGTGAACATGCATTTATAATACTCTTTGGTAAATAGAGGCAAACCTCGGAGATATTGCAGGTTCAGTTCCAGATCACCACAAGAGAGTATCACAATAAAGCAAGCCACATGAATTTTTTGGTTTCTCAGTGTATATAAAAGTTATATTTATACCGTACTGTAGTCTATTAAGTACACAGTAGCATTACGTCTAAAAAAAAAGTACCTACCTTAATTTAAAAATTTAATGCTAAAAAATGCTAATAATCATCTGAACCTTCAGCAATGAAGGCTGAGGTCGCTGTGGCAATTTCTTAAAATAAAACAATGAAGTCTGCTGTATTGATGGACAATGGACTCTTCCTTTCATGAAAGATTTCTCTATAGCCTGCGATGCTGTTGATAGCATTTTGCCCACAGTAGAACTTCTTTAAAAATTGGAGTCAGTCTTCTCAATCCCTGCCACTGCTTTCTCAACTAAGTTTATTTGACATTCTATATCCTTTGTTTTCATTTCAACAATGTTCACAGTATCTTCACCAGGAGTAGATTCCATCTCAGAAATCACTTTCTTTGCTTGTCCATAAGAAGCCACTCCTCATCCATTCAAGTTTTATCATGAGATTGCAGCAACTCAGTCCCATCTTCAGGCTCCACTTCTAATTCCAGTTCTCTTGCTATTTCCACCACATCTGCAGATACCTCCTCCACTGAAGTCATGGATGCCTCAAAGTCATCTGTGAGGGTTGGAATCAACTTCTTCCAAATTCCTGTTAATGTTGATATTTTGACCTCCTCTCATGAATCAAATATTCTTAATGGCATCTAGAATGGTGAATCTTTCCAGGTTTTTAATTTACTCTGTCGAGATCCATCAGAGAAATCACTATCTCTGGCAGGTATAGCCTTACGAAATATATTTCTTAAATAATATGACTGGAAACTCATAATTACTTCTCAATCTATGGGCTACAGAGTACATGTTGTGTTAGCAGGCATGTACAAATCTCCATCAGAGCTCCTGAGTGACTAGGTGCACTGTCCATCAGCAGTAATATTTTAAAAGAAATCTAATCTATGGGCTACAGAGTACATGTTGTGTTAGCAGGCATGTACAAATCTCCATCAGAGCTCTTGGGTGACTAGGTGCACTGTCCATCAGCAGTAATATTTTAAAAGAAATCATTTTTTCTGAGCAGCAGATCTCAACAGTGGGCTTAAAATACTCAATAAACCATGCTGTAAACAGATGTGTTGTCATACAGGCTTTGTTCTTCCATGTGTAGCACACAGTCAGGGTAGATTAAGCATAATTCTTAAGGGCCTTAAGATTTTCAGAATGGTAAATGAGCACTGGCTTCAACTTAAAGTCCCCAGCCCCTAACAAGAGAGCAGGCCTGTCCTTTGAAGCTTTGAAACCAGGCATTGGCTTCTCTCTAGCTGTGAAAGCTCTAGACGGTATCTTTTTCCAGGCTGTTTTGCCTATACTGAAAATCTGTTGTTTGGTGTTGCCACCTTCATCCATGATCTGAGCCACATCTTCTGGATCACTTGCTGCTTCACCTTGCACTGTAATGTTATTGGAAACAGCTTCTTCTCTTAAACCTCATGAACCAACCCCTCAATATTGCTGTGTCTTAGGGAACAGGGAGGCCCAAGGAGAGGGAAAGAGACGGGGGAATAGTCAGTAGGTGATGCAGTCAGAACACAAACGACATTTATCGATTAGGTTCACTGTCTGATCTAGGCACTGTTCGTGGTGCCCCAAAACAATTACAATAGTAAAATCAAAGACCACTCTTCACAAGTCTCTATAACAGATTTAATAATATGAAAAAGTTTAAAATATTGCAAGAATTACCAAAATATGACACAGAGACACGAAGTGAGCACATGCTGTTGGAAAAATGATGCCAATAGACTAGATTAGCTGACAATCTTCAATTTGTAAAAAATATAACCTTCAATTTTTAAGACCACGGTATCTGTGAAGTGCAATAAAGTGAAGAGCAGTAAAATGAAGTATGCCTGCACTTGGGAGTGAGATTCCTGGGTCCTATCATGGTGTATGTTTAACAAACAACAAATGGAAAAGAAAGAAACTGTCAAAGTGTTTTCCAAAGTGGCTGTTGTTTGCACTCCTCCGAGCAAGGTACAGGAGTTCCACTTGTTCCACATCCTTGCCAGGACCTGGTATTGTCAGCTTTTAAAATTTTGACCATTCTAATATGCATGGAATGGTATCTCACTGAAGTTTTCATTTGCATTTCTCTAATGACTAAAGATAAGCACGTAGTGACATGTGAATCAAACCTGAAGATGGTGAGCAAAGGGGTTGCACGGCTGTGTTAGGGAGAGCCCATACGGGAGAAGCAACAAGTTCAAGGTACAAGCATGTCTTTGTAATAGATTTAATTATGAAACATAAAGTTTCATACATTGAAATAAATGGTTAATAAAGATTTTAATGAATTATATGTATATCTAGTTTTGTATCACTGAAGTTAGGGACTTGGTTCTTTGGATGACTTGCTTTGGGATGGCTAAAGGCTGGAGAAGACTGGGTTGATTCAGTCTTGAGCTTCCTAAAATCATAAGCCTTCAGATTTTCAGAGAAAATAGAAAAGTAACCCCAAACACACAGGTACCACTTAAAGAACACTGCATCAAAATAAAGAAAATTTATTTTATAGTATGTATATAATAATCGGCAGTGGCAAACATTTTAACCACACATTGTATTTCTCACTCTTCATCCCTTCAACTTCCTTGCAGCAGTTAACACTTCCTCATGTCCTTTCCCACAGTTCTGCCTCTATGTGCTTCCATGGCCAGGCATATTCCTTTAACCTCAGCAGCTCAGGCCTTTCTTTCTGCTTTCCACGGCCGCAACCTGGAGCCTCTGCATGAAGCTCATTCTCTGCCCTCATTCATCATTGCTTCAGCCCCCGGTGTAGTCCATCCCTTCCTCTCCACTGGCAATGTTCTTGAGCAGGCCACCATGGCCTCCACGTTGCTTAATGCAGTGTTCAATTTTCAGTCCTCAGCAGCATTTGATTCAAGTAATCATGTCTCCTTTCTGAAATGCTTCATTCATTTGACCCCCAGGTATGATACTCACCTGGTTTTCCTCCTTTGCTGGTTCCTCATCATCTCACAGACTTGAAAATACTGAAGGGCCTCCAGGGCTCTTCTCTTTATTTATGCTCACTCCCTTTTTAGTCTCACACAAACTTAATGCCGTACATCCATATACCCACATCTCTACATGCCCATTTCTGGCTTGGATTTCTTTCCTCAATTCCAGACTCTTTTCTCCAATGACCTACTTGACACCTGTTCCTGCTCAGGGCTGAATGAAAGTTTCATCCACATGCAGGCAGTCTTTGGTGAGTTTCACCATGTTCTTGAAAAACCTCATATATGTATGTTGGGGTTTTTTTCTGGAACTTAAATTCCAGTGAAAAGACTCTCCCAAAAGACTCTCTTGCTCAGAGAATATGTAAACTCTCATTTAATTCTTTTGTTTCCAACATTGCACCTCTGCATTCAGCCCTGCATTGGTTGCTCCAGGCCAGAAATCCCCTGCTTTACATTCTCCATCTTCTGAGGTGAAGAAGCAGCAGCCTATGGGCAACAGAGTTCTAACTAGACCTTGATCTCTAACTAGATCTTAAACAGACTTACAGTCTAACTGTTTTTAGCCCCACCACTACCTCCTCCTTCTATAGCTGCCTTGTATGGGCAATTTTCTAACCCTTTTGGAGAACCTGCAATAACTGCAGTCAGGTTGCTTCTTGGCTTCCCCTGCCACTGACATAGGTTCAATGTTTGCAGGTTTGCCAATGCACTTCCTACCTGTTACCTGTGTTACAACTTCTAAAAATTGGTTGCTACTTTCTCCTGCCATCTTTGTCCTTGTGCATTTATCTTCTTTAATATAAATCATTTCAACATGGCTTAGATAGTGTTTGGAGAACAAGGGGGCTATTTGTGTCCGTTTACTATCTTTAACTGGATATGCATTAATAGGATTTTTTAAATGCCTTTGTCATTATTTATCTTCTTTAATA